TGAATCACAACATGTGTAAGTCACCTAAATTTTCATACAGACAAGAGGAGGTAGTTACAAAATTCAGTCAAGTGCAGGTCTTCTATTTTCTACTTTCTGTGACTTAAGCAGGATGAGTAAGTAAAACTCAACAGTGCCAGTTGAGCTGGGAGCTGAAGATCCAGAATTTCTGCATTGACCCTTTATTGTTCTTGTAGTGACTAAAATAATTTTAAAAGAAAAATTTATGTTATATGGAAGGAAAAAAAACAACAACAGAGACTTCCTGAATTTTTCAGGGTTTTCTCTAGCACATGGCCATTGAAATGCAATCCTTTATGTCCATTGTTTCCTCTTGAAGAATCAAAACTTTTACTATTAAGGAGAAATTCAGCTAAAGAACAGATTGTCAAAGGCTACACTAATTTTCTACAAATGGAAATATTTTCAGTATGCTGTTGTATTGTAATACAGCTCAGAATCAGGGTCATCAATCTTGAAGTATTTCTGTCAGGCTCAGAAGAGCCTACAATTAAATCTGTCTGAAAGGTCAAATTCCTTGGAATAGTCATTAAAATCCTTCTACCAAAGTAGTTACATCCTCAGTATTTATGAAATAAGCTATTTGATCAGATATAATATGCAAAACCAAGTATCATTCTGTCACAAAGGACTAAACGAACTCAGATTAACTTATCTAGAGTTATTATATATATAAAATATATAGAGATATATAGATTTTTAGATATCTATATTTGTATCTATATATAAACTTATATCTGTATATAGATCTCTATACCTATATACATCTATATATAGATATAGACTGTATCTCTAGATATCTATATCTAGAGTTTAAATATATCTATATATATAAAGTCTAGGTAACGTAAATTAATCTGAGTTAAATCTAGACTTCTTTTATATATAGAGTTTTTATATATAAACTCTAGACATATATATAGATTTTATATATGGTAACATGTTTATATATGATAAGTATTCTGTCACTAAGGACTATGAACTCAGATTAATCTAGAGTTTATATTTAAAAACTCATATCTAGATATATGTAGATATAAATAGGTACAGATATATATAGATATATAGTTTATAAAAATATATATATAAACTTTAGAGTTCATGTATGATAACAAGTATAATTCTGTCACTAAGGAGTAAACCAACAGATTATTTTCAATTTTCTACAGTTTATATATGCTCATATATATCTATATATCTAGATATAGATATGTTCCATGTATATTTATATATAAACTCTAGATTTAACTCAGATTAATTTACATGATCTAGGGTTTATATATGTTTATATATATCTATATATATTTAAACTTAGATCTATAAACTCTAGATATCTATCTAAATATCCATATCTATCTATGTATATAGATATAAAGCTATCTCTAGATATCTGGATATATCTAGAGTTCTTATATATATATAAACTCTAGATATCTAGATATATAGCTTTATATCTATATACATAGATAGATATGGATATATACAGATATCTAGAGTTTATATAGATATATATATAAATCCTAGATCATGTAAATTAATCAGAGTTAAAGCTAGAGTTTATATGTAGATATGTATCTCTAGATATATGCATTCTAGAGTTTATATGTGATAACATATATATGCTTATATATAAGTATCGTTCTGTCACTAAGGACTAAACCAACTCAGATTAACTTAACATTATCTAGAATTTTTACATACATATATATATGCACACACACATATATAAACTCTAGATTTAACTCAGATTAAGTTGTATTATCTAGAGTTTATACACATGTATCTATATATATCTAGTTTATATAGATACAGAAATCTAGATATATGTAGAGTTTATACATATATAAACTCTAGGTAATGTAAGTTAAGCTGAGTTAAATCTGGAGTTTACATATGTATATATATAAACTCTAGATATACATATCTATCTATATTCTAAATAATGTAAGTTAATCTGAGTTGGTTTAGTCCTTAGTGACAGAATGGTACTTGTTTATCATTCTGTACAGATCACAGGCACTGTGTTACCATATTAATATTTTGGGGATTTAAAAGAATGACTCACTTCTTTTGAAATTCAGCTTTAATATCTCAGTGTGAAAACTATTCATATATGCTGTAATACTTAATGCTCAGATGTAAAAAAAAACTTACATTTACAGAAAGTGGCTATTAGTGCATCAAGTTAAATCCTATTTCATATATAGAACAAAAATGCTGCAAGAAAAAAATACCTGTGAGTGGTCATTTGACTTTAGAATAGTTCTATTGAGTCTCACTCTTAAAAGTTGTGTGTCTTATAAAATACAATCAGGTGGGTTTTGATCTGACTACTCAAGGAAAGAAGGCAGGGAACTACCTGTGGGAAAGAGTTTAAGAGGGGAGCATGGTGGGGGGGAAGAGAGAGGGAAAATAAAAAAACAACATAAGAACACGCACAGGGTGTTTAAAACCAGTCAGTGTTAAATGCTGCAACCTTCAGCATCAAAGTGTAGCACAGTCCACCTAAGCAGCAGGTTGCCTCCACTAGGTGACAGCAACAGTAAATTGTTTTCCTTAATGCATTTAGAAAAGATTTTAATCATTGATTGGGTCACTGAAATGACCTGTTTTCTGGGAAACCAACTTGAGGCATCTTAAGAGGTTCATATTAGCCAAGCTCTCAGGGAAGGCAAAGGTAACTTCAAGGTATTTAAACTGTACAGCCAAAGGCATGCTGCTTCCCTTGAAAATTACAGTCTCAGATAGATTGTTAATGAACAAAACACCCAAATAGATGTACTTGGACGAAGCCCACTGTTGTTCAAACTGCAGATACAGAAATGGTACAAACTGCATTTCAAATCATGTCTCAAGTTAAAACAACAAAAAAAATCTGTCAGATGTTTTTTACATTAGAGATGTTACAGTAAATCAGCCCTGTGTAGATTTGAATACTCACTAAGACTACATTTGTCTAACAAATAATTTATAATTGGCTCTATTTAATGAAGGATCATCAATGGATAATGCAACTTCAGAAATAACATCTATGTGCCGTTCTGGTTTTCTTTCCTTCTGGGTTTTTTTTTCAGTGTAGTCTCTGAATCAGGAAGTTTACAAAGGCTGCCTTTGAGTTGCTTTTGCATCCGACATGAAGTAACAATAAATTACCTCAACTATTGTTTGCTAATAAATCACTGATACCAATTAAATTAAAGTCATGCTTTTATTCTCTGTTTATTTGAAGCACCCAGTCAACCACCAGGGAATGTTGTGTGGAATGTCACCGACTCCAGAGTAATCCTCAGCTGGGAAGAAGTAAGAGCCATGGAGAATGAGTCTGAAGTGACTGGGTATAAGGTAAGTGAAAACAGACCCAAAAACTGCATGAAAGCAACCCACAATTTGCTTACTCTTGCCTCTTTTCAAGGCAGCAAGTTCAGCGGATGCACAATACCACATCTAAACCACTTCAGTACCGTCTCCTTTTTATAGATTTTACATCATGTTCTAACAATGTCTCGCAGGCTGTGGCTCTTTTACCATTAGTGGTACACTTAATAGCTTCTCCTTACACAAACAAAACTGGGAGCTGCAGGTATAGTTGCCAGCTCTTGAGATTCCACTTAACCAGATATATAACACTTGACTGGCACAACATATATAACAGTACTTATCACATGTAACATGTATGTATCCAAGTGTATAATATTTTCAAAGAAACCAAGTAAATCCAAAATTTAGGTGATAGGTATAATTCTCACTGCTGGCCAAGTATGTTAGCACCACATTTAACAAACTGATACTCTAAACTCTTCATACCTACTGTGGGACATTCTCATCGTCTTAATACATTGCTCCATCTATTCTAGATCTGACTGGTGCACAAACATACAAGTAATTAAATGCCATATATAAGAGAATAGCAAGGATGTTCTTCAAGAGCTGCATACAGTTGGAGCCTACATGATACATTCCTGCATAAAAGAGTTATGCTGAAGATCTGAATACAGTGTTCTGAGTAGTATGGGCAAGAACAACATGTTTACAGCTCAGATGAGCCATCTACTTTCATAGATGGTAGCTGACCCAAAAAACACACTATGAAGAGTCTCAAACTGCATACTCTGCCTCCCAAAACAATTTCAGGTTCCGTATGCATAACAAACATTGCTAAGTACACAAGGATAAGCAGAATTTTTATAAAGCTGGTTAATTTTACTGAATGAATTTACATAGTCCAGTTACATAGGACATTGAATGCAGTGAAATTTCATGACAGAGTAGTCATTAAGCAGTTGGGGAGCATCACCCAAAGTAGTCTGTAACACTGATTAGTTCCCTCCTTCCCAAACTACATAGTGGTGATACGAAGCTGATCTAGATAATGACAGACTGCAAACAGTGGGATAATTTATAGAACAATACATCAAGGTATTCTAACAGAATATATTATTTGTAGTCAGCAGAATCATAGAATGGTTTGGGTTTGAAGAGACCTTAAAGGTCATCCATTTCCAACTCCTCTGCTATAAGCAGGGACACCTTCCACTAAACCAGGCTGCTCTAAGCCCCATCCAGCCTGGCCTTGAGCACTATCAAGGATGGGGCAGCCACTGCTTCTCTGAGCAACCTGGGCCAGTGACTCAACCACCTGTTATGTTACATTATTTAATAATAACAATAATAATTATAATTAAAAACCCAACAAATTATATAAAATATATAATGAAATAATATAATATGTTGTCATTATACATTGTGCTATTTTTTATTAAAGTTAGAATAAAAGTACTTGATTGATGTTAGCTTCTTTCTTTAAATGCAATTCTGCCCTAGTATATACGTTAACCAAAAATCAGATCTTTTCTCTTACCCCATCTTTTTAAAGACTGAAACCTTGTTTCTAAGAAACAAATATAAATTGCAGGGCAGGTCCTACTGGAAGATACGTCACACTACAGCTCTTTGCTTGTATTGCAGGTTTTGTACAGGACCATCAGTCAGAGCAATATGAACGTGCTGAACACAGACAAGACAACAGCTGAACTTGTGCTCCAGTTTAATGAAGATTACATTATAGAAGTAAAAGCAACAACGGAGGGTGGAGATGGCACTAGCAGTGATCAGATCCTGATTCCCAGGCTAGCTAGTAGGTTAAAACTGAATCTCTTATTATTTTGTTGCTGCTTATATAGGCTCCCCAGTCAATGACAGAATCCTCTCTATACTGGCCATAGTACAAATGCATCTCTGCCTTAGTGTAGTGAATCATTACTAAATGTGCAGTTGACACCCAGCAGCTGTCACAGCTTGTCTTTGCATGAATTCAGTACTTATTGATGGGGAGAAAAAAGAATACTTGGATGTTGTATGGCAATAAGGTAATAAAAAAAAAAAAAGCAGTTAACGGTTTTCCATGCACTTACGCATGGCAAACTTCCTTTTATTGAACTGGTAAATTATAATGTAGATTGGTATTAAAAGCATTAGATTTTTTTACCCTTTTTTTTAGTATTACCTTGAAAGTAAGGATCATTTGTACAGTTTCAGTGTTTTGCAAGGCATTTCTATAGTTTTACAATATTTACTGTAGTTTTGGTAAATCTATTCTAAATTTTCATTGCTTGTCAGAAATAAAAATGTACAATAAAATTTTTTGCTTAGTGTCTAGAAAGAATACTGGTTTGGCAAAGACAAAACTCATGCTTCCATTTAACTCATACCTTTTTCCTTTGACACAGGTATGGATGCAAGAGGTTGCGGTCCATCCGTCTTGAGTATCTTCAGTGTATCCAGCTTCTTTCCAGTGCTATTTTCCTTGACCCTTAATTCAGTGTTGTGATGATACATTTTCATTTGCTGGGGGGAAAAAAAAAAAGGAATTGGTTACTACAGAAAAGTGCTTTTTTTTAAAAGAAACCTGCAGTGTTTAATGCATGTTTTTCTTCTATCCTGACGTGTTTTTAAATTCTTTGTATTTCACTGTAGGTTGAAGTAAAAATACCATGTAAAGTTTTGCAAATCCTTTAAAGAGGAATCTAAAATGCCTTAATACTTGAACCAAAGCAGTTTACATATTACATACTTCAGATACAATGGGAGGGAGAGCAATGGCACTGTGGTCAGAGTTTCAGGGGAGAGCTTAGCTCAGTGAGAAACTCCATTTCTGCAGTGACAATGTTTTGGGTAGGATCTGCATTGTTAGGATAACATCATCCTACATACAAAAGACGAAATCAGAGGCAGCACTTCAATCAGATAGTAACAAACACATCCACCAAGCAGCTGTTCTTAAGCCAGTGTCAGAATCCAGAAGGTTTGGATCAGTTTTCCTACTGCCCATTCTATAAGTAATTCTAAATACTGCAAGAAATCAAAGCTGGAAGATAGATAGAGAAAAATCACAGTATGGCTGTTAGTTCTGCACAGTCCACTTTGGGATGTTTGAGAGGTAGGGCTTTCACTACTGCTCTTACGAAATGGTTTCACAGCTCTCTGCTTTATCACAGCATATATTTATGTACCTTTTCAAACACCTAACCTTCCTCTCCATCAATAGATTTTGAAGTTAGTTACTTATATCCCCACCTTGTATTTCTTAACCAGGTTCTTTATTCATAACCAAATTCCCCCAACTTCAGAATAATTTTTATTGCCCTTTTCTGAACTCCTGCCAGTGCATTTCACTAACAAAAGTGCCCAGTTGTAAGCGTTACTTAAAATGCAGTTGCACCATGGCCTTACAAAAAGGAATTACTACCACCTCCCTACTTTGTCATGTGGTGCTTCCAAATATATGCAGCCCTGAATTATTTTGCTCTTTTCTGTATTGCACCACACTGTAAATTCAGTGTCTCATTCATAACTCCCCTTCCTGATGCTTTTTAACTAATACAGAATATTTCACCTGGTCTGGCACTCTGATGCACCCCATTAATGTCATACAATTATAGTAAGTTTGTGGCAATACTGTAGGTTATAATAAAAAAATAACACACAAGGACACTTCAGGCTTGCTGTTATGGAGAAATCTATGCTTTCTTTCATAGCAATACATTAATGATACATTAAACCTGGTCCATTTGACTTCCATAGTTGTGAATTTAGTCAAATCAGCCTTTGAGACACCTTTTAGAGAGCTGCCTACATACATGGCAGAGCACAAGTGTTCATATGACATAAAACCATATCCTTTTAAAGAAAGTCTCACAGTATTATTACAACACACAGAACTATAAGGGGAGAGAACCAGGATTAATGAAATTACAGTATCACTGTAGAAAAGAAAAATACCTGATATGCATTCAAATAGCAAATTACCTTATTAGTATCACATCCAGATGGAAATACGTGCTAACTGTTGAAGTAAGCAAGATCTGTATATACTGTACATACATAGTTATAAACGGATAGTTGCTTTTCAATGTGGCTAACCAGTGATGTTTTCAGACACTTGCAAATGGGGTGGGGGGGAGTGGGTGGGAGATGGAAAAACAGGTGTTACTAGTAAGTATACAGTTATGTTTCATGCAACAAAGGGTGACTCTTTCTATTCTTGTTTCACAAAATTCTAGTCCAAGTTCCTGTATTACCATTTTCACACAGTTTACATTGTATTAGTTAATTTCTAGTTATATATCTCCATGAGATATGTACCAAGTACCTTGTTTCATATTGAAAAGCTTGAAATTTATCCTTAAACTTCTGGTTGTGTGTGTATCCTATGGTTATCTGTATGCATTTTTTTCTATTACTCTAATAAAATATTTATTACATTGAGGGATACTCAAATATTTCAAAGTATTATTGCTTGTTTGGATTCTGTGTTTCCACACATGGGCTTTACTGCATCTAAAAATGATACTTACAGCATCTTCATGATATTTCTGCTAACTGGTGCTTCTTGGCAGCATAGGATCTTCTGTTGTGGTAGTTTTACTGCAAAGAGACTAAAATCCCAACCCATATACTCAGGCTTACCTGTACAGAAAGCAGGGCAGGAGGGAGAAGGGAAAAGTAAGGATGTTAATACATCCCAGTCTTGTCCCAGAGGCAGACACATGGCAGAGACCAAAGTCTGTGTGTGAATTTCTAAGGTTTTCCTCTGCCTGCAGGCTTGCAGCACTGGACAAAAAGCCACTTCTTTCCCATCTATCCAATTAGACTGTTTACAACGAAAAAAAATGTATGTAATTATATTGAAGAGTTAGTCCTTTATAATAATTTATTTAGTGCCTCACTCTCTAGTATTAAATTGTATGGCCTGTTTTCCCCTGCAAATTGCCCATTCTGTACATACTGCAGCTTCCCATTTTAAAGCCCCAGGCTTCCTAGCACTAAAACCTTCTCACTGGGAACACAGGCAAATCTGAATATATACGTCAAGCTTTTAGAGCATTGCTTCTACCTACCTAATAGGGAGCTGATCCAAATGCTGCAGTAAGGGTTAATGGCAATCTCAACACGTTTACAAGTGTATATGCAAGACTGAAGTAACTTTTCCCAAGTAAAGAGGGTTTTACCTTTCAGATGGTTGTTGGTAGACACCAGCCTTGCCCTATGTTTAGATTAGTCTTCCATTAAGCTGACCTCTCTCTGTTCCATCACCTTATGTTAATTTGGTCAATGTTTATTTGTGGTAATAGCACAGACTTGATTCTGTAAGTCAAAGTAAGTTGTCATTGGGAAAGGATAGAGGAAAAGGTGAAGAGCTGGTAAAGGATGAGGGGAGACGTTTCTGAGCATACCATGTGCAAGCTTTTCCAGAGCAGCTTCTGTAAATAACCAAGGTTTGCAATTCAGTCCTGAGGAGGAGAAAGAAAAAGAATCAACACTAATGAAAAACGTGAGTCACATCAATCACTTGTGTGACTGGAACTGTGGATGGTGGGAGGGTATTTCTGCCATTCTTGTACTTGCACCAAAAATAGCCAACATTTTATCACAATTGCTATTATGCGAAATCCAGTATGAAAGAACAGTTGGACTGAGTCAGAGATTTTAGGGAAACAAACACTATTGTAAAGTATATTCTTTTCAATACCTAGAAGTGGAGCTGTATTCCTCCACGCTGGGCAGTAACACTGGAGGTTCCAAAAGCACGAAGCCAGAAGCTGGGGGGAGTGGGACAGGCAAACCCAAGGACAGATGAGCCAAGTCTTTCATTGGCTCCTGTAGGGTGAGAGGTGCATGCTGCACCCCTACAGCAGCATCACCACAGAGGCATCCACAGGATTCCTCTGCAAGCTAAGCGCAACACAACACTGGGCAACCCGCTGGGTGTTTCTTGGACAATAACTCGAACTGTCCTTGTGGAAAGGAGAAAAGACACAAGAGTCGTGCCACCAGCTGGATACATGCTCCAAAGAAAAAGGAACTGAAACAGCTTAAAAAAATACCTATGCTTGCAACTGTGCATGCCTCCTCTGGAAGCCAGAATGGCTTCTGTGGGAAGCCAGTACCAGAGGCAATACGTGTGCTGTGCTGGCACAGGTCTGGAGGGCAAGGGCTGTTTGTGAGGTTATTTTAAGTTCAAAGTTTCTCACCCTGCACCTCTATTCTCCCAAGATTTGCTTTCTAAAGGGTTTATTGTGCTTAAAATGTGATTTTTCCATTCTTACCTGACAACTGTTCATAAGAGGGGTCTCAATGACACCTCCTGGTGCTTCCAAAGTCTGACTTTCTCAGAGGTAGCTGGTATAAGAATTAAAACACCCACACTTTTTATTTGGACAGTTTATCAGATGTGTTGTGAACATACAGGATCCTCTATGAATACAAAATGAGTTAAAAACTAATATCACTTTAGCCCTAAGAAATATTGGAGATTTACATTTTCTACTTAATTTGCCTTCCACTGGTGGAATGCAGACATGGGCAGTGCCTGTCAGGTTATATATGTTATGAGGGAGTGCATTAATCTGACAGCCTTCTGTCTGAAATAAGTAACAATGGAATATTGTGAAAATAAAATGAGTTTGTAAACAGGCACTTACTCTCTTAGGAAAAACAACCTCCTCGATTGTTTTATGCTAATGCTTTGAACTCCTGAAAACCAATAAAAAAGGATACATTTAGCAGAGATATAACTGAATGTGTGTTAATTCTGTTTCATAAGAGGCACTGCTTTCAATCTGATGCATACATATGCAAGCTGCAACATGATGGGGGGGAAAGTACACCACTTCAGTGTATCTCTAGATACCAGTCTTACCCTCTCAGAGAAGAGCTTTTCTGCAAAGACTTCTCAGAGTTCATAGCTGCCTCCCTGGTGTGCATACAGCCTGGATCTCACCAGGAAGCAAGATGTGAACCCTACAGAAAGGGATAGATATTTATCTTTTTCTAAATTTAACAGCTATTTCAACTGCTTCAGCAAGCAAAGCCTGCCTGCACCCTGTGCATGTAGGAGCTGTTTCTCAGAGGTGCTAGTAATGTCTCATCTTTGGCTTGGAAGTGTTTCCCAAGGTCAGCTAAGGATGTGGACACCTCCACAGTGCCAGTGGGACTGGTCACTGCTGCACCAGCTGGCTGCAGGATGCAGAGCTGCTGCCATCACTTCCTTGGTGGCATCCTCTCCTTCATTCCTCCCACACAGCCGCTGTCTTGCCTCTACTGCTCACTTCTTCTGACACTCACAGTGGGTCTGACCAGCAGGTAGCATCTCATCTTTCCAAGAGGAACACATGTATCTCCAGGAGACAGTCTCAGAGTAGATGTGTCTGTCTGGGCATACACCTGCCACAAAAACAGACTGGCAGTAAAAACCAGCCCCAGGCTGTCACCAATTTTTAGTCTATTTTCATATTTTTCTCTTGCTGACAGTGGTTCTATGTTGTCAGACCACTGACTCTGTCCTGCCCCTTGTTAGGTGCATCAAAAAGCTCTCCTCCTCAAGAGTTGGCATTTTGATAGACAGACACTCGCCTTTCCTCATAGGTCCTCTACACCAGCTTTAACTGCCACGTTGCAGTGTCTGCAGTGATATCTGCCGTAATACACACCACGCTTTTCATCTGCTTTGGTTTTGAACACTCTGGTTTGAGACTTCTCAGTTTGTGAATGAGTTTTCATAATAGAATTTCACAAGACCTCATGTGCACGTTTCTTTTGTCTTTTTCCCACCCTTAGGGGTCAAGAAAACTTGATAAACTCATTTGGTATTAAATTTCTTTTTCTGAACTGCTTGCTGATCTTCTTGAGATCAGGAAGTATCTTTGAAAGTCTCTTAATGCACAAATACATGAGACATGCCAGTAACCCTATGTAGTGTTACTAAGACACTTTCTTCCCAATGTACCTAAGATTATGTTCTTACCCTTCAAAAGCATAAGTCCTGTGAGACCTGGACCATGCTGTTCTCTGTGCTGTGCTCTTCATTCCATCTTGGCAATTAATTCCCCTTGGGCAGGAGAACATTGAGGCATCGGCAAATGCTGAAAAAGGAAGAACCAAAAGCATCCCATTAGGCACCAACAGAAAGGATGTAACTTCCAAGATGTTCATTAAATCAGTTCATGATAATTTAAACTCAAAGCATCTCCTAGGGCAGAGAGACATCCCAGAACCATCCATCAGGAAAGAGCAACTGCTGAAACATTCCAGCTCCTGGCTGCCCACATAGCTTCCAGCCTCCCAAACCCCATTCCCCTCAGGATTCAGAATGACTTAGCTGCAAGTGGAGAAGGAACACTGAATTGCTTCCCGTGCTCCATTACCAGCTGAGGGTGCAGGATGGGAATCCTCCAGCTGCACCCAGGGAGGGTTCACATGCCCTTAGTCAGAGGTGGGACTGGAAACCAGCCACCAAACCATGAAAATGCAAACATAAAAACACTGCCTTATGAATGAAAGCAACTGGCAGCTGTGCTCGGAGTGACTGCGTGCAGCATCCTCCTGCTCTGAGACTCAGGGGTCTTGGACACAGAGTTACAGTACATCAGGGCACTTCAGAGCACACGTAGGGAACTGCTTGTAGGCATTCTGAACTCACTGCTCTGAAGCCCAAAATAGAAGGGCAAATTGATTTCTTTTGTCACCTCAGGGAAGGTACTGTGAGTGCTCCTGAGATTTGGGCATATAAATACATTATCCATGCCCATTAATTTAGAAGGAGTATTGACAGGCAGGAAACTCATTCATTGGGATTAGTCTCCTGGGGGACTTCGTTTTTAGAGGATCTTTCAGTTTTATGCTGGAACACAAGCAATGACCTGTTCCATCAGCTAAAGACATAAAAGGAAAACAGAGAAAATAAGGGAAATCCCTCTCTTTCATTCCCTCTATGATACAAATAATAAATTACTTTTCCCAACTGAAGACCTGTAAAAGGAGTCTATCAAAAGGGACATGTGTTTAACAAGAGCTGCTCTCATTATCAATCTGAGGAGGGTCATGGTTAAAGCAGGCAAATAATTTAATTGTAGTCACAATTCCTAACATTGCCACCAAACTGAGGCAGTTAAAGTTACACTTGTCACAACATCAATTATCTATTTGAACAGCAGAGCTCTCAGCTGATTGAATGAGCTGTTCTGCAGTGAGAACAGATCAGTTCATCAGCTGCATCTGACTGACATTACTTTTTGGATGTAGGATGTAAATTGACTATAACAGAAAATATGGCTTTGGTACCTTTACAGCAGCTTCATACAAGACAGAGGGGAACTCTTCTGCTGCAGCCAAAAGCTTCTGCTCATGTACTGGAAAACAGTGTCTGGGGGTTCTGTGTTGCCTTGGAAACATGAAAAATAAAGCAATATTAATTACCTATTTTCACGCAACCAGAGTATCCAGTGCTGAGGACCTGATCCAAGGCTAATGAAACCCTTACCCCAGTTTCAGCAAGCTTTGATCGATCAGCCCTTCGAAACAAAAGGAGGACCAAGGCAGAACTTCTGCTATATAGTTCTCTCTGCTCAAAGTACTGCCAAATAACAAAGTCGCTACTATTATATCTTCTGTATAATCATTTTTACTGTTATTTAAATGTTTTTAACTACACACTGCTTGCTTCTTTTCCTCCCATCTCTACAAACAGGTGAAGACTAGAATCAACCTCTTCTCGAGGGAGTTTGAAGTTATCCTAAAATTTTCTTTTGGAAAGACTGTTCACTGCCCTGCCAGCACAGCCCACAGCCGTCAGCTGGAACTCCAGCCACAAACGTAAGGACAGATAAAAGTAATTCCAGTAAAATCTTCTTAATTTTTAACAGGAATCCTTCTCAGTTATGAATTATGCAAAGTGTCCCTTCTCTTTCATTTCCAGCGAATACTAATCTTTGTCTACCAACCCAAGCATTAGAGTATTCTAATTTAATTCTAATAGAGTAATTCTAATTGGAGAATCCAATTTTAGAGTATTCTCCACTCATTCACATTCACAAGGTTGACCATCTTTGCTAAAGCACTTTGATTATCTGCTTTCAGATTTGGGCCGGGTTTAGCGCAGCAGTACCTGACACCGCTACATGTATTTCATCAAATAGATGCTGAAATCCCATTCAAAGATGGGCACCCACATGGAGAAACAGCAGAGCCAGAGGCTCCATTATTTGCAGCTGGGTGGAATGGCTGCATGTGCAATGGGCAGAGAAGGAGCACGCAGCATAGCCTGAACAAGTGCAAGGATGTGGGACCTTGCAGCACTGCTGACTGCTCCTTTGAGGTCTAGCAGGGGGCATAGTGAAGCAGTATCAGCACACAGCTCCCTGCTGCTCTGTGATGGGCACACTCAACCACACCAAACCCTCCTTGCCTCCACAGGCATGGCCTAGCTCCAGCCTCACCTTCACATCAGCTGGCACTAAAAAGGGCACAGTTCAGCCAGAAACCCAAAGATGACTTCACCTCTTAACCCCAGGCATCTGACTCATCTAATTCCAGCCATACCTACAGCTTTTCCATCATACATACAAGCTCTCATAGAACCACAGAATCATTAAGGTTAGGAAAGACCTTTCAGATTACTGAGTCCGTCTGTCAACCTAACACTGCCAAGTCCACCACTAAAGCACTGTCACGTCCACCCCCGAATCGTCTCTGTAAGGTCCTCTGCCCCACGAGCATTGGCATTTAGATATATATGAAGTGGAAGCCCAATTTCAGTGCTGGTAGGCAAAATGTGCCAGCAGCATTTCAAACTGCTTCCTCCACTTTGGAGCTTAATGAGCAAAACACACTGGAGGCTGTGACTTCTCCCAAGTCTCTTGCAGCTTCTTCCCCTCTTGAGCTGCTTCACTGCATACTTCTGAAGAAGCATAATTAACATTTTAAGCAAAGTTACCCACCAGGAACACCCGCTTGCTGAGAAAATCATCTACAACCAGACTCAGACTGTCCCTTTCCTCTGCTGATACTGTTCAACAGCTACAGCCGAAAGGGATCATATGGGACACTGGCCATGGTCCCCACAGGTCAGTGTGTGTGTGTGTGTGTGTGTGCTGGGGAAAGCTGCAGGTCCAG